AGATTTCCAGTTTGACTCAGCTTCCCACACAGCTGCAACAAGAGCAACCCACTGTTACTCAGCCACCATTGGCCGATGACCAGTTCACTGGTGATGATGCAACAATGGAGGAGGACACTGAAGAGTGTAATTTGGAGGTTGAGTTGGATGCTGTGTATGTTGTGCTTGATCCTGAGTTAGATGCTCAGTTGGAGGAGGAGCTATCACGTGCTGTCCCGAAGATAGGACGTGGCATGGATAAAGGAGATGACACTCTTGCAGACCCGAGTCAAAGGAAGGTGCTTAGCCTTAATCACCGAGGCACATTCAGCCATGAGAGGTTTAGAAGGATTGCCACAGTCATTTAAAAGTACTTGTATGATGGGCTAGTGCTTTTCTGGTCTAGTTGGCCTAAGGAAAAGAAGAGGGTTGCTTGGGAGAATTTTCAGGTATGAAAATTGTAGAATAAAATGAAGTATTTTTTGAGAATTTATTTAGATGCTATCACCTTACTCTTATGGTATTTGATATGGAAGTACAATGTATATTTTATATGATTTTTTATATTTTATTTATAATAGTGAAAAAAAATGACAATTTAAGCAAAATTTTGCTATTTTTAAAGAAAATCAAATAAATTATTAACATTTATTTTTTTTTTCATTGCAGAGGACATATTATTGGGAAGAGGATGATGCTCGTGTGTATAAAGTCTGGAGATTACATTGTCGAAACCGTTTTCGAGACGAGTTTCATCGAGCTCGAAAGGTGTGGGTCAGGGATAAGAAGTTGCCCGAGTTCATGCATAAGGATACCTTTAAAATTTTGTTGGCAAAATGGAGGAGTCCAAAATATATTGCACTCCAGGAAAGAGGTCGGCAAAACCGATCAAAGAATAATCGTGTGACTCACACAACTGGATGCCTTTCTATTGGGATTCATGAGGATCGACTGGTTAGTAAGATATACTTATATAAAGTCTGGACATATAAATTTTTTTTTACCATAAAATGGAAATGTTATTGATTTTATTGATATTTTAATAGGCAACTAAAAGAGGAGTTAGGCTGACACCTTTGGAGTCGTACTTGTTGACTCACACGACTCGCCGACCTGATGCTCCAAAAGATGCCCCACCCGCTTGGATATGTCCACAGGCTGAGCAGACATATGTAAGAATCTGATTCTTTTATGATATTAATTTTATTTATTTTTAATTTTATATTACCATAAAAGAAGAAAAGTGATACAATTTTATATCCATTGTATTTAGTAAATAATTTTTTTTCATTTGATTTCCTATTATCATTTGAAATTACTAACTAATGAAAATTTTATTTTTGAAACAGAACGATGCTCACCAAAAATATGTGGAGAAGCATGGGCCAAACAAGGATTCATGGGCAGAATGGGATCCACTTATCTGGAAGGAGGTGGTTGGACCTCCTAAAAAGGGTAAGATGAGAGGGATGTCTACATTACAGGATCCAGTAGAGCATGGCATCCCTTGGCGACAGTATGACATGAGTGACGCCTCCTCTTTTACCACCAGGATTTTTACGACACAAGTTCAGCAGTTACAGTCTGAGCTTACTCAAGTTCGGGAAGAAATGGCTGAGCGAGTTCAGACAGAGATGACCGCACGTATTCATACAGAGGTATCCTAGAGAGTATCAGAGATGGAGGCCGGCTTTGAGAGGAGATTTCAAGAGCACATGCGCTTACTTAGCCAGCAATATTCTATGAATGCTACACAACCCCAGACTGGTTATCCTTCTTCTGCATCACC